AGAGAGAGAGAGAGAGAGAGAGAGAGAGAGAGAGAGAGAGAGAGAGCACAATCAATTCCTCCACTCGCCCCGGCGTTTCGCGCCAACCCTTTTCTCCGCCGAGGGCGGTTTGCCCACCCTTAGAGACCTCGCCAATCGAGATCGCGACCTGTCACAAATTCTCTTTCCCCTCAACTTCCCCTTTGGACGCGAATTAACCGAGAAACAGAAGACGAAGAGGCGGAAGCCGATAAGTTAACTCCCTGTCGTTCAACACCCAGCTGAGTGCCGTTCCTATAATCGAGCGTGATGATCGTCAGCGATGATGATTCCTCGGGGACTCCTCGGAATCGTCCGAATTGTCGTGCGATGAGCAACGACATCATCGATCTCTCCGAGGCTCCCGGTACATGTGCACTGCACCGAATGTGTCTCGGAGGACTGATAAGAAATTGAAGCGATCGAGCGTGACGCGAACCACTTCCTCGTGAATACAGCACTGTCACAATACGCGTAGCATTGATTGCTCGCCTCTCTGTAATTATCTTACTCTCGGGCACATCGAACAATTTCTCGCAATCGTACGATTATACGTCTCATTCGACCAATCTCGTTAGCTCAGCTTGACTCGTCGTCGCGCTTCAACGTACAGTGTTGTCGTCAATTTGACGATCCTCCGTTTTGCTTCACGGTATCATAATAGCAATCGTCTACTCGCCCCGAATCGTCATTCCACCGAGAGGTGTTCGACGTAATCGACAGATGTATTTCTCGCAGTCTGACAAAGATAAGGCCTGTCACGACACACAGTCGGCGTCTCGAGGGGGTTGATTATTCGTCGGCGACGTGGGCGCCGGGGTCGTTAAAGACTTATATTCCTTACGCTAACGCGCGTGTCTCTGACGTAAGCCGAGAGACTCCATCTTCCGCTGCCGTTCATTCTGCGATGCACTGAAATCGAAACTACGTAACGGGCGGGTGCGAAAGAGCGCGCGAGGAGCGCGTGGGCGGGCATCGGGTTATAACAATCGATCTTCTCCGAAAATATTTGCTCCGCCGTCGTTCGTCGCTGTCGTCGACGGACGTGACTGCGAATACGAATCGGGAGATTATGCGTGCGCGGTAAACGAGCCAGTAATTGTACTCCGATGACCCGCTGAAAGGCAGCTCGCCTTGAATCGGGCCGCCGTGAAACCCGGTCAATGAAAAACGAAGGACTCCTCGCGAAATTTCTCATATACCCCGTCCCCATGCAAGGACGCAGATCATCTCTCGCATTCTGCATATTCATGCGCGTCTGTTTCTTATTTATTTATCGCGCACGCGGGTCTCGAGTTGGCGAAAGCGACAGTATGAACATCTTTAACTCACCAGAAAGGACACACGTCTCTTTCGAGATCTGAAATTCACCTTGGCGAGAGTGGCGGGAGATTAACTTTCTTAAAGTGAGAAATTGCCATTCCGCTCAGAACGGTGAGAAAAGCGTTCGGGCGCGACACGAGTCACGTTCGGCTCGAGGGCCGCAATATTTCCACGCTGATTGCAAAACTAACTTCGTGAAATCGTAATCTCCCGTACGAACAAAGTTGTCGCAAGGAGGAATGGACTTGTCCCGTCGTTGTCGTCGTCGTCGTCGTCGTTGTGTCATCGATTTCCGTATCCACTTGACCTCCGTGGAAATACTCGTCCACCTCGATCATCATTTGTCTCGCGGAACGCTCAATTACCTTCCAGCCGTGTCCGGCAAGAGGGTAGAGGAGAGGAGCAAACACCGTGCAAACACCGTGCAACAATGCACAGGTGCGCGTTATTTTTCTTTCCTTTCCCTCCTTCTTTTAAAGTTTTCTTTTTTATTTCCCCCTCCCTCCCCCCTCTCTCCCTCTCTCTCTCTCTCTCTCGCGTCTTTTTTCTCACCACAGGAACGGGACCGTTGTTAACGGCGGCATGACATATGGCGCCGATATCGTTATCGCGCTCGGAAAACCTTGTCCCACTTTTCCTTAACCGTGCCGTGTAACACCGAGAGCGCCGCGCATACATGTGTGTACGTGTACGTGAGTGCGTACGCGTATGTGTGCATGGCGCAATCTGCCGGATGAGATTTTATCCTCTCCCTTTTATCGTGCGCGCGTACGCCTCGCGCCTCTCGTGAAATAATTATGCACGGTGCTCCTTGGACGCGAGCTCGTCGCCAAACGTATTGTAACGTTTTCTGCAGCCACGTACTCTTCGAGCAGTGACACGTAAACGCGACAGCCATATAGTGGGTTCGAGATAGACGGAAATATCGAGTTCTTGCGCGAAAGATTGATCAGTCTTTTCTTAAATTCTCTGTCTAAGCGTCTAAAAGAATACCGAGTCGGAGTTGTTGACTTTATTCTCGTAAGGATTCTTGATCCTTCGAAAGTGGCTAATTTCGTTCTATATTTTCTTTGGCAAACGCGCGCGGCAAGCGCACCAACCTGACAGATCGCCACGGTGCGCCCTGTTATCCATCCAAGATCAATTTCCTCTTATCGGGAATGGCGGAACGCCAATAATCTCTGACTTATACGTAAGTAGAGATTGTACGACTCTGTACGTGCGCTCAAGAGAGCCAAAAGCGATCTCGTTCGTCGCTTGATTTCGCGATGAGCGACCAGGCGAAGCTGAAAATTCGCCTCGATTCTAATCTGAAGGTCGCGGAAACAGGTGTGATGCATCGAATTAAGTTCTCCCCTGTGGGAGAGTCCGAGTCGATGAAAATTTACGTGTGTTAAACTCGGATGTACATACGTTGTCTTTCCATTTTCACACAAAAAGCTCCGGAAATCTTCGCGAGCTCGTCACTCGCGGAACAGAGGAGAGAATACATTTATTATTCGCCGAGCGAGCTATACAGCGTGAAGTTGCACATACGAACGTGAGGAATCGATAAGGACCCGCTACCGGATTCTAAAAGTTCCTCGTTTCAGTCGCGCGGTTTTACATGCGCGTATTTATAGTTCTCTCGATCCACCGATTTATTTCCAACCGCGAGTATAGCCGCAGCCGACCAGTCCAGTAATCGATTAGCTCGGAAACTGTTTTCCTTCCCTTTTAACTTCCCTCTCCCTCGTTTTTCTTTGTCCTTCGTTTCCTCTTTTTTTTTTTATTTTTTCTTATCGTCGCCATGACCGGCGTCGCTTCCGCATGAGCAGAGCAAACTGCAAAAGGCGATGCACCGTCGTTAATTACTGTCACGTTACGTAGATTAGACGTCATTTCGTTGAGACGAAGTTTTCCCCTCCGTCCCCTTCCCCACTTCGTGGAAGGAGTCTATTTTCGCAGCGTGTCGTTGAGCGCGTACGCGCACAAGAGTATTCCGAGAGATGTATCGTAAACAAAATGTTACCCCGTGAGTAAAGAGTGCGCGCAAGTGTTCGATGTTCAAACAAATTTCGATATTTTCGCGCAGCATGCCGCGGCCGTGGCTATTTTTACGGCACAACGTCGGCGATACTTCCGCGCGATACTTCTTGACACGTGCACACAGATTATCGTCCCGGTTCCGTCGCGACGCTTAAAATAGAGAAAACGCGTGTGAAAAAAGATCGTAAGTTTCCATCGCCGCCTGCGACCCAAACCACCGGCAAGTTTCATTACCGACTCGTTTTGTTCTCTAATAAGAACGTCGAACGGCGACTCTTTCGCGTTAAGTTCATAAAAACACGCGCGATGCGCGGCCAAGTTAATTAAGCTTTAATTGGACGCTATTCCCCAGCGAAGTTTCGATCCCACGCTTTAATCCCCGAGATACGTAATGTCGATAATTGAGAACTGCGCAAAGGGACAGGCAATTTTCACGGAAGTCGACTCGAGAAATAACCGCGTTCGAAATAATCGTAGGTAAAACGGAACAAGTTCTTCTTCGCGTCCGCAAGGGCCGCATGCGATCCCCGAGTACGCTCGCGGTATTTACAATCTTCGCGATTTTATCGCCGACACTTCCGACACCCATCTTCCCAGGTGAGCCCTTTCCTGCCGCGCAGTAATCTCCAAAGAAATCTGTCTCCCTCGACAATACTTGAATTCGTCACGCAATTATCTCTCCGCTGCCGCGAGCCCCCGCCAGCTCTTATTAGCAAACTGCATTAGCAAACTACATCAGCAAACTGTATTAGCAAACTGCATCAGTCTTGTGCATTGCACGACGAGACGAGACGGGACGACAAGGGCTCCGAACGAAAGAATAAATTGCGAAGCGACACGAATGCAAATTGTACGCACCTGCGCGTGCGAACCGCACGTTATCGCTCGTGAGTCCGATTATCGTCGCGGAAGGAACACGATGTCGTGGAACGAGGAACGGAAGCAACCGCAAATGTGGCCACGTCGCCGCTCGCCTTCGCTCCACGGATTATTCGAGCCGGCCTGAGTAACAGCGCGTCAACGCGATGCGACGTTTGCTCCGGGTGCACCTGACGGCAATTCTCCTTCGTATTCGGACTTTTTCCTGATCAATCAATTAACTAATAACAAGCGAGACGATTGGTAGGTCGGGTATTGTGTCGCGGAGGAACGTCAAGGTGATCGACCATAATCCGAATCCAAATCGTCGAATGTCAATCACGGAAGGAAGATAGTTTCAGTGGAAACGAGGACCAAGTGGGCGACGAACAAGTGGGCGTCTGACGTTGTAAATTCACGCTTATCGCGACACGCGATCGCAAGTGCTCAGCTGGACAATCGTGTGGAACAAACGGAGCGGCATCGATGAACCTCGCTCTTCGAAAACTGCGTACGATCGGTCAGACGGTAATTAAATCACAGCTGGTAGAACGGGACTGCAGAGCGAAAACGGTGGAAATAAAGTGGCTGATGAAATTGCAGTTAATAAAACGGGACTCTAGTGCGAGAAAGAAAGAGAGAGAGAAAGAAAGAGAGAGAGAGAGAGAGAGAGAGAGAGAGAGAGAGAGAGAGAGAGTCGTTCCGCTTAACGTGATCGAAAGGTGCGGTAGAGGAGAGGAGTAAAGAGGGAGACGAGAGGGATCGGACGTCACGAATGCGTTGACGTGGAGATGATGTCGAGGAGGCGCGGGAACGCATCCAACGTGCCGGTTAAGGACTCCGTTGTCGAGCTGCGCACGCGGATGGCCCGTATGCTGTCCATCGTCGAGATTACCTCGCAGAGGAATAATCCGGTACCGGAGTTACATACCGACTACGAGTATACAAAGAACGCCGTCGACGCGACGGCGACGTTTGTCGAGTGCGAGCAAAGTTGACGGCGGGCGGGAGAAACGTAGGAGAAACTCTCGATAGACTTCAATTAGGCGCTCGCACGCGCTTACGATAATATTGACGATTCATAAATCCCACGCTCGAGTGGCTTAATTGAATTTTCCGCTTGCGGTTTAATTGAGAGGCGCAGCAGTGAGATAGATAGAGAAAGAAAGAGAGAGGCAAGAGGAGAGAGGGAGAGAGAGGGCAAGAGTAACGCGCGTGTGCAACATGTTTGTCGCGCGAGGCGGATTTTATGGATTACCGGAGAGAGCTCACGAGAATCAACAGCGAGAGAACCTATTCACCTATTTTCCACGTTGTTAAAACTTTGTTTTTAACTCCGCGTTGCACCTAGAAATGAAGAAAGCGGAGAAGATTCCACGAAAAAGACTACACGTGACGTGTGCGCCTCAGAAATGAAAATTCTCTCTTCATTTTCCTCTTTAATTACGACACTGCGTCGCCGTGTCAGTTTCGAGTGGTTCGATAAACTACGACGAATCATCAGTAAATTCATCTGTTGCGTCGCACGGCTGCTTCTTGCCCATCCTATCCCGTCCCGAGTTGCAATTTTATGATACGCGCGTATGCTGAATCAGTCGCGACGCACTTGACTTCGTGACTTGCCTCATCCCCAATCGTCGATTTGTAAACGAGAAGCTACAGAATTTACATGAAAAATTTCTTAAAATCTTATAATTATCAATTCTTTGTGATAATTATCAATTATCAATTTGACTCGGTGATCCTCTCGTATGAGGAAGAGTTTCATCGGTTTTTTTACATCCTGATAATTACTGAATACTTATCTATTTTAATATCTCATTACGCACTGACAAATGTCAATAACGATCCAAGTTTATACACAAAGGACATTAAGCGCAAAGGATTAATTAATTATAAGTGCCAATGATTTGTTCTCGGAATCTCCCTCAGAACATTAGACGCCACTTATGGCATTGTAAAATCTCTTGGAAATTTGCATGCAATTTTTAATAAATTTCTCCAAACTAATTAGAGTATGGTGCTTTTGCAGATGTCGGGCCAAGATCCGAAGTGGCAGAAAGATGCCGCGGATCAAAACTTCGACTATATGTTCAAGTTATTGATAATCGGCAACTCGTCAGTCGGAAAAACATCTTTCCTGTTTCGATACGCGGACGACTCCTTCACCTCGGCTTTCGTGTCGACCGTAGGAATCGACTTTAAAGTGAAGACCGTCTTCAGACACGACAAGAGAGTAAAGTTACAGATCTGGGTCAGTATATATCTCTTGACAGTCGTTTAATGATACATATTAACACACATGGATTTACATTTGAGCATATCCCTCTAATTATTTCGATCGACGCGAGTAAACGTTTCTTTAGATAATCTTTCAAAACGTATCATGTTTTCACGCGAGCTGAGTCGAAATTCTGTGTTCTACATTAATCCTGCAAATTTTCTGTCAAACTTGAAGGATCAATGAAGAATTTTGAGATATGATGTAAAATTGGTACCAAATATTTTACATTTCTGCATTAAATTCTCGTAAAAAATTTGCGTATTAAAAAGAAAATAGAAAGTCCTCATTGAAATAAAAAATTATCAATCCTTTAAAATTGGATAATTTCGTTTCCTACTTCATCTTACAAAACCTTCTGCATCGATCTAACACTATACAAGTTGTTGTTGGCTCACCTCGATACTGCAAATGATGACTCACTGCAGTTTTCTGCATGTTAAAGAAGCTTGCAGAAACTTGTTCAAGAATTACTTAAAAATTCGTTTATCCCAATATTTCACCTGAATTTAATCTTTATTATTAATTTCAGATGACAATGTATTATTTATTATATCAAAATAGGACTCATGAATCTGTACAGTGCCCTCCAAGTTTAAATCTGTCGCAATCTGCATGATTAATGTATAACTAGAATTTTAATTCGCGTATGCCCGTTTGTTAAACGAAACTACTGTTGCCGAACAGAATCAGGACGTCATGTCACGAATTTTGTACAGGACAGAGACAAACACTAACAGCTCGATATCTCGATATTATTACCGACGATGAATCTGCGGTGTGCATTAATCGATACGTTTTATTTTCAGTGTGTGACGTGTTTCTTGCGCGGTGCTCAGAAAGATCATACGTAACACATTGCGATATAATCTCTCTGCACTGTCCTTCCTCTTTCTCTCTATCTCTCTCTCTTCCTTTCTTTCTCTCTGTCTCGACTGAACAGATTGCACGACCGTTTATTGATTATCGTTCGTCGTTACAGGACACGGCAGGTCAGGAAAGATACAGGACAATCACGACGGCCTACTACAGAGGCGCGATGGGTTTTATCCTAATGTACGACATCACAAACGAGGAATCCTTCAACTCGGTCCAAGACTGGGTTACGCAAATAAAAACCTACTCGTGGGACAATGCCCAGGTAATCCTTGTCGGCAACAAGTGCGACATGGAAGAGGAGAGAGTGATCAGCTCCGAGAGGGGTAGACAGTTGGCGGAGCAATTAGGCGTGCGATTCTTCGAGACATCCGCCAAGGAAAACATTAACGTCAAGGTATGTCACGTCGCATTATGTCCCGAGTCGCATAAGTATAACCATTCACGACAGAGAGAAATTGCCTCTCTGTTTCTCTCTCTCTTGAGGCACAGACTCTGTGTCTTGACATGATGAAGGAATCAGCAACTAATATTACACGCAAAATATTACCCGAGTATCGCAAAGAAATCCAAAAGGAAATTCGTCTTCGTTAGTTGATTATTAATGCTTTAGACGAAACATGACGGAAATAACGCAACCTAGAGAGTCTAATCGAGCGGTTACGAAAATAGTCACGATGAATTCTCGAGGACACTCCTCACCGTATCGCGCTTTCGAGGAGTTAATTCACTCTCGACGTATCACTGTCTACAAACACAAGTCTCTAGTTGATCAAAAGCAACGTTTGATCCTTTAATCGTTTCTACGTGACGATACTGTAATCGAGGAACTCGTCGGGAATTTTCGGGCCACGTTTCCAATCCCGACGCACGAGCCTTTGCTTTGTACTACCAGCGTATCTAGAGGCGAACGTGCGGCATATCGATCCCGTCTCTCGCGAGGTCATGCGGATGATCGATTTTCTCCTTTCGACAGGCGGTGTTCGAGCAGCTAGTGGACATAATATGCGACAAGATGAGCGAATCCTTGGACAATGATCCGACCCTGGTGGCGGGCGGTATGACCCAGAACAAGGGTCAACGACTCACCGACCAGCCAACCAATCCAACACACACCAACTGTAATTGCTAAAAACGCTGCGACACGTAGAAGAGATGAGAAAAGAGAAAAATGAGAGATCGTACGCGTGTGTTTACGCGCGCGTATTGTGTCTGTGTGTGCATGTATGTGTTCGTGTGTGTTGCGCATGTGAAAGAGAGTAAGAGAACGAGAGAAAGAGAAAGAAAGGGAGAGAAAGAAAGGGAGAGAGAGAAAGAGAGAGAGAGAGAGAGAGAGAGAGAGAGAGAGAGAGAGAGAGAGAGAAAAAGAGAAAGAGTGAAAGAGAGAGGGAGAAAAACAGAGAATAAGGTGGAGGAAGAAAAAGAGGGAAAAAGAGTGTCGTGTGCGACGCTGGCGCGTTAACTAGTCCACTTTGTCGTTTCCCTCGTTACTTCATTTATCGTTTCGGAAGTCGCCTTTCGTTCTCACTTGTTTCCTTTCACCCTTTCCGGCGCGAAATGATATATATATATGATTAATATATACGCTATAAATATATAAATATATATATACATAACGATTATAATCCGAAACGCGACCGAGTTAGCCAAAGACCGATCGCGAGCAACCCGTTTCGGTTCATTCGCTGGACATATAGGGAAACCGCCACGACTGTCCGCCATCAATTTTTTTCCCTTGAAATATGTTGTTAAATACTAACATTTAAGAGCTCTTGGTTCCTAATTAATATCATCAAAACTACAAAATGTTCAACAATTGTCCGTATAATTTTATTCTTTGTTAATTGTTTGCTTTTTTTATATTATATACAGGATGTCCAAGACTCTTCTCCGCAATTTTTGTGGGAACGTACAACGAATTAAGGTGAACATACAAATTCTATACTGTTTTGCGACATTCGTAATAAATCTCAAGATATTAATTAAAGTAGATTAGTGAATGATCACGTGCAATATGGTAGATGAGCTGTAGTGGCGCCGTCTGCTGTTGTATACTTATGCATTAGGTCAAATTGAACAAAAGGATCCTCTACCATTTTGCACTACATAAATAACTACATAAATTTATAAATATTAATTAAAAAAGATTTGTGCATTATCGCGTATAATCGTGTAACAATTTTCTTTAATTAATAATTAAAAATCTACATGGTTATCAATTTGAATTTAATATACAAGCACACAACAGCACATATTGTCACTACAGTTCATCTACCATATCGTGGATAATCATTCACTAATGTACTTTAATTAATACCTCGACTATTATTGCGAATATCGCAAAACGATGTAGGACTTTTATGTTCACCTGAATTCGCTCTACGTTCCTACAAAAATCGCGGAGGGGAGTCTGGGCTACCATGTATACATAAAATAGAAATATATAAAATAAAGAAATAAAGAAATCAGAAATTAAACTTTCCACGGAATAAACATCTCTCTCACATCACATTTCTAAACGCGCGCATTTGACATCGAATTTATTAATAACAAGATAAATATGTAATTATATTAAGTTATACATATGGGCGAAGCCGTGTTGATTTGTGCATTTTGTAACCTGCAAATTGTGCCTCAAATATGATTTATTTCGACTTTATTCAACAAAAACGACAACTTAATGTAGAAGAAATAAGACGAATGTATTATAAAGAACACATTGTAGTTTCCGTATTAATTTAGAACCTCTAATGGGTAGAATTATTTTTTATGGGAGGGGGACTGCTTTATATCTTAAAACTGCATACTGGCACGTATAAAGAAGTACAAGTCCCTTAAAATTTTATGTTTAACAACATGTTTCAAGGAGAAAGAAATCGACATCGAACAGTGTGACGGTTCCCTCGTAAGAAACGGAATCGGTGCAATTCCGTTAAGCACAAACTTCCATGCTATAGACACGGAAAGTTGCACCTCACACCTTGCTCGTTTCGATCGCACAGTCACTTGTTATGAACCATTAGATTAGATAGATCAATAATATAACTTTCCTTTTTACTTTGGACAGCCGCTTCATGAGAAATTAAGTAATCGATGTGAGATTTCATTGATTCTCTGTTTCCGTCTAAAAAATTGGAAGAAGGTGAGAAACGAGTTTAATCGCGGTTAACATTAATAGTCGTTGATGGGAGCACTGGTTGAAGGATTAGAAAGGAGTGTGTATATTCGTGTATTTTTTTACACGTATGCAGTTTTAAAAAGTAAAGCAGCCCGCTCAAAGGATAATTCGGTTCATTAAACATGGAAACTGCAATATATTCTTTATCATATATCCGTCTAATTCCCTTCTACATTAAGTTGTCGTTTTTTGTTGAATAAAGTTGAAATAAATAAATATTGTTTGAGACATAATTTGCAGGTTACAATATGCACAAATCAACACGACTTTATCACGTCTATATGTATAACTTAATATAATGATATATATTTACTTCGTTATTAATAAATTCGATATCATATCTCTTCTCCTATATCCAATATAAGATTTAAATACTTCATATAAACAATTTTCTTATAATTCTATCACGAGAAAGTTTTTTATTAGAATAAACTCCTACTAAGCTCACTTTTGCCATTACTCGCAGCAATTACGCGCAGATAATTAGTGCGCGTCGAAATATTACTTTTTTTACTAACTCTCTTATACTACGAAGAAGTAGAAGAGGAAAGATATCCTCGCGTGTCTGTGGCATCGAAATCTGAATCCAGCGAAATGACGCCGATCTCGATTTCTGTTCGCGAGGGAGAGAAGGGAAGAGAACGAAAGGAGTAGAAAGGAGTAGATTGCGAGGAGGAGCTGGAGGAGGAGAAGAAGAGGGATTAAACGAAAGGCACGCGCAAAATGCGCTCGATACTCGGCGCGTTCGTTTCTTACGCATCGACGTTGTTCTGCGGTTGATAATAATTAATGACGATGTTCGTTATAAAGCAGGGACGATGTTGCTCGCTCGATGTTGACATTGTACACGCGCGCAGAAATATTACACACCCGACACGCTGAGAGGCCAAGGCGCTCCATGTCTCGAGTTGACGCATCGCGAAATACAGCGAGTAAAAAAAAAGCCTCTGACAATAAACGTCAATCATTCGCTCTATAAAACAAACCGGACACTCAAATGAACGGTCGATCGAGAACGTTGGAGGGTCTGTTTAACTCTTTAACTCCTCTCTAATCGACGCGGATCACGCGAGTGAATGTGCACGAAGTCCCGGGAACTGTAATTAAGTCCAATAGCCGAGAAAATATCTAGACAAATGTTTGTTTATATATATAAACGGTGTGAACGAACATAGACATATTCGGGATTCAGCGGTGTTCCGTAGCGTTTTTGATGGACATTAGACGACACAGAGAACTCATTTCCAGCTCGTTCGCAAAGAGCCGCGTGATAGACGAGGAGTTGGAGAATTGAGGGCGGAATCGTGATGCGACACGCGACAAAATGCACGAACAATTCGATTGTCTTGCCACGTTGCCAACAGCGAGCATCGCGAGTCCGTGGAGCGAGCGAGCGAGCAAGACTTTATAATCGGATACTGCAAATTAAGTGAGTTGTCCAAATGCAAGGAGAAATTGAGGGAAAGACAATTCCACGACAGCAGAATATTCCAAACGAGATACTTTATCTCGTTTTCGTTTGCGCCAAGTGAAGCTGTCATTCTCGAATTTCCTGTGTCTCCGAGATTTTCGGCATTTCTCGAGCTGTGATGTCTTAATTGACAGTGTTCGATTATGCGCGCGCAATCGACGACTCGCTGACTCGTAGCAGGCGAGTGAACTCTGGCGTAAATTTAGACCTGTCTCAATGATGATGACGACGATCGTACGTAATTTATTTTCGCCCGATGACAGTGCCGAATCCGCTGCACGTGTCGAACGCGACGCCAAACTGTGTTTTTCGTCGCGAGCGAAGCACGTCGACGAGACGAAACGAGTCAACCAGCGTCCTCAGTGCACAACTTGATTGCACTGCAATTATTGTCGATACTTACAAACACGCTTTCCCTCACAGACGATCTCCCTCACAGCATTGATCTCGCCGTCTGAAGTTCGAGATATTGCGTTACGTCTCGTCGCGTCTCGCTCGGATAAAAATAATATTCTTCGGGCGCGCGTGCGCGCACTAAAGCGTCTCGCGAGAGAAACTTCCAATTCTGGAAGTTCTTCGCGGCTACGTGTAATCAAATCCAATTACCCATCGATCGACAGGGAGACGAGATTACGACAGGCGCGGAAAAATTCAATCGCCTTCGTTAGACCGCGAAGAAATACTGAGTCGAGCAACGTCAACGCCGACGACGTCGCGACGCTCCTGTATCGTATCAATAATTGTCGTTAAGCGATTTAATCGCGCTGTATCGATCCTAACGCTCCCCGCGAAATTATTTACGAGCGCGACGATTATTTAGCGAGCATTATATACAGTACCGGACTCTACCGAAGAACGTCCAAGTCGCGACAATGTTAAATACGAGGATTCGACGATATTGGAACGATCGGAGGAGGAGGAGGACAAGAACAGGTGCATCGATCTGGCGTCAATTATCGAGGGAGCACCGGCGTCCCCGCTTGCCATTTCAGTCGTCGCCTGGCGTTAAAAATCTACTAGGCAGGCTGCCCTCTGTACATAAATGATATAATAAAAAAAGAAAGAGGAGGAGAAGGAGAGAGGCAAGGAGATATTTATCATGTATCATTGAATCTGTAATGAAGTGTAATGTACGCGTTAAACTTAGCCGTGCGGATTTCGCAATGTGCGTGGCGAGAATCACGCGGCCCGCGACACCGGACTAATTGTTGCATCAACGCGCGACGAGAGTCGATCGGAATCGCGAGATACGCGGCGAATCGCGGCCAAGACAAGCGAAGTGCGGAAACGCGACTGGAAAGCAGTCACGTTGAAAAAAAAAAAAACAGCGGTCGAGATTAATTTCAGGTATTGATGTTGGATTTTTATTGTAGACACGGGAGAGGGACGCGCCCAGTTGTCGCGTATGTTTCTCGTCACAAAGAACATACGTTCTCGGCCGCTTAGTTTGTCTACGATCAACTTTGAGGGATGAACTCGACGAACGATTATTTAGGATTTCAATTGCCGT